CCCCCCCCCCCCGGACACTGCCTTTTGTTCAGGGGACTCGCCTCCCTGCAACTCTGGCCGGAATCAACGCCTCCCCGCTTCTGGGGATGGAGCCAGCCCGCCCAGGCGTTCTTCAGGTCACCCTGACTGGTTCAGGGATGGAAACGCAACCCAGCGAGGGCCAAAGGGATTCGAAGAAACGTTCTCCGTCTTCTGGGCAAGAGCCTTCCTTTCTCTCACACCCAAACTGCCCCTGGGTGCGAGGGTATGAAGTTCAAGGTGGCAGCAGCCATTTTTGGTCCACTGTCGCGGGCCGTACGGGAGGCACTGCGGGAAGAGCCCCACGGGAGGGCTAGCCGAGCTGAAGAGGGGACACAGGGCGGTGCTTCCCTGGTGCTCACTGGCCACGGGACCAGCACGTACCAGGGATCCCAGACACACCCGGCATCTGGCTGCGGTAAACTTTTCCCGAATAAATGAATAGATGGACGAAGGATACCTCCTCTCGGCTCCCCGTCCCAAAGGAGCCTCGGTTCCCTAATACATGGGTGTGATACTAGTCTCTACCTGCTGGACTTCTCGTGGGAAGTTAGTGAATTAGTACACGCCTGGCACACAGTAGACACACAGCAAATATCATTATAATTATCATCCCCATCCTCCTCACTTCCCTCTGGAGCCTCAGTTCTCTCCTCGGTGAAACGGGAATTCATGTATTCAACAGACTGCTGGCCATCACCTTGTGCCAGGGAGTCTGGTGAGGATCTGAGGCAGGGATGCAGATGGACGGGCTCTGGTCTCTGCCTGGGAGAATCAACCTTCTGGTGTGGCGGGCAGTCAAGAGTTAAAACCCAGCGGGAAGAGATCCCGCGGTATATGGAAAGTCGGCTGTACGGGTGTGGGGTGTCCTGGGGTGTAAACGGCCACCTCCCGAGTTGAGCTAATTGAGGTGAGGGACAGGAGCTGAGCCCATGTCCTCTGATCTTTCCGGTGCGTTGGCATGAAACCATGAGGGATGGGCTCCAGTTGTCGACCCAGGTCAGACAGGAAAGGGAAGATAAATGACCAGAGAGCCCAGGGCTTAGAGTAGGTAGATAGATAAAAGTTGAAGGTCGAGGAGGAAAGAAGCAACTTGTATGTCAGGTGTTTTTCTCTTGAAATATTATATTGGTTTTTAAAAGTTATGTGAGGGGTTCCTAGGTGGCTCAATCAGTTAAGCGTCCCGACTTTGGCTTTGTCATGATCTCACAGTTCCTGGGTTCGAGCCCTGTGTCGGGCTCTCTCTGTTGTCAGTGTGGAGCCTGCTTTGGACCCTCTGTCCCCTCTCTCTCTGCCCGTCCCCACTCACACGCTCTCTCTCTCTCAAAAATAAACAGTTTTAAATGTTAAAAATTATGTGAAATAATGGCAAATCTAATTCTTTAGACTTTTATCTTTTTTTGAAAAATGAGTGAAATTTTTATTTTAATGGCAGTTAAGGTTATGAGCCGCCAAGTGACACCGCCACCTGGTGGCAGCATACTAAACTCCCAGGTTTGTTTTATTTTGTTCGAGGTAACATAACACTGCGGGCCCGATTTTTGGATGTGACTAGAGATCTCAGAGCCATTCCCCTCTTACCCCTTCTCCCTATCCTTTCGCTGCAACCAGGCTGCCATAGTCGAAGCTCCCAAGTTCTTAGCTTTTTGCCTGAGCCATGCCTGCTCCAGTTTGAGAAGCCAACTTCCTCCTCCTCCTTCGGTGCTGACACTTCCCTAAGCCCGCCACCCTGCCCACCAGGGGGATGTGGGAATAGGGAGAGAACCTACCCCAGTGGTCACAGTGAAAGAGCACAGATGCTACGGACTCCTGTGAGTTCAAATACTTACTGGCTATGGGTCTGTGGACCTCTCTAAGGCCCCTGTGAGCCTCAGTTCCCCCACCAGAGAAATAGGAAGTCAAGAGACTTCTTATTCTTTCTACTCCGTGGCTTTCTCTTTATCCAGAGCTGGAGTGAGTGGGGACCAAGAAATGAAGGGGAGGAGTGGGTGGAGTGGAGCAGAGAGGCAGAATGCCCCTGCGTTGCACTTACCCCTCTTGGGGACCCTTTCCAGAAATGCCCAAGGCCGCTTGCTTCCTGGGGCCACCTCCCAGGTTCCCCTTCCCGTCCAGTTCACCCACTTTCTCTTCCAGTCTCTCTCCGAGCCTGGTTGCTGACACCCTGCACTGTCTTATAATCCACTTAGCTCTGAAGGGACAGCGACCGAGCAAAGGGCCATTGGCCCTGCCTTGGGCTCCAGAGACCGCAATGCTTCATGCTTCCCCCCTCTCAAATGGCTCAAATGCACTTGGGAGGGAAGAGTTTCAGAGCTGGGCTTCCCCAACCTTGGCAGCCACGAACGGTTCGGGAATCCAGCCTTCCAGCCCGAGGCTGCTGCTGCCTGGATCCTGTCGTGTGGCCTTGAACAAGTCCCTTCCTCTCTTGAGCTGCAAATTCCGTTGGTAAAAGGGAGCTCTCCAGTCTAGGTCTAGTCCGGCTCCCATGACATGGCAGCCAGGGCTGCTGAAGAGGTGGGCAGGGTTGGGGTGTCCTCTCCCCTCCCTGTCTCCTTGCGGAACGCCAGGCCCCTGCTGGGAGGGGGAGACCCTGCTTTCCCCTGGGGAAGTGAGTCCCAGGGCAGCTCTGTGATGCTCCCCACACTCGCTGTGGGCAGCAGAGCTGAGTGCTGTATTAATTATTACCAACTCCCCCTGGGAAGAAAATTCAAAGTCAGGTCACCATGGTAACCTAGATGGTGGCAATGTGACCAAATTGTTTAAGTGCTCAACGTGTTCCAGGCAAATTACCTCTCAGTGGAAGAGAAAAGAATGGGGCCTCAATCCCACACTTCAGTGGCCGGGGGAAGAAAAACGCAGGAACTCCCACGGGGCCCAAGCCTTTCTAAGGGAGAGGGCGAGGTGGGCACAGGGCTGTTGCAAGGCCGGAGCAGAGCTGCAAATGACATCCAGGCTTCTGAACGAGGACTGTCCAGAGCCAGACGCCTTGGGGTTCAGTCCCAGCTCCGGTCCCATCGTGTCTGTAGCCCCCCGCTGGTACCTTGACCTCTCTGGGCCTCCAGTAAACCTTCACCCGGCAGTCTCTCTCAAAGGCCCCATGAGATGAACGAGCCAGGGAGTTGTTGACCTCACTTGGGGCTGGGGGTACAAAGGGGAGGCCCAGGGCGGTTTGCTTATCAGACCTTCGAGGCGGAGAGACTTGGATTCAAATCCCACCTCTGCCACCTAGCAGCTGTGTGGCCTTGGGCCAGTGACTTCACCCTTCCGAGCTCTGGCTTCCTTACCTGTAAGAGGAGGCCGAACAATAGTCCCTCTCCCTCGGCGTGACCGTGATTAAGATAATCCATGAACGGGCGCCCGGGTGGCTCAGTCGGTTAAGCGTCCGACTCTTGATCTGGGCTCAGGTCATGATCTCACGGTTCATGAGATTGGGCCCGACGTCGGGCTCTGCACGGACAACCAGAGCCTGCTTGGGATTCTCTCTCTCTCTCTCTCTCTCTCTCTCTCTCCCTCTCCCTCTCCCTCTCTCTCTGTCTTTCTGAACAATAGATGAACATTAAAACAAAAAGATAATCCATGTAACGTGCTCAGCACAGCCCCCTGGACACCGTAGGTGCTGATGTCATCATTAGTTGCTGCCACTTTAATAAGGGTCCCCTATGCCAGGCTCTGAGTTGAGCAAGTTTTACACGGGACCTATCATCAAATCCTCCCCCATTCCTCTCGCGAGATGGCAGTTGCTACTAACCACAGTTCACAATCGTGGAAACTAAGGTTAGCGAGGCGAGGAGGGGCTCAGACACACCTGACCCTGGTCTGCCTGCCTCCGGACATTCCCTGCGCGGCCTGAGGATGACACGAACCATGTGTCGAGTGCCCTCACTGGATAGTGAACCAGTGGGCACCCTTGGGCACGTCCAAGTTTCATGTCACGGCCCCTGTATGGCCCCGGACTCCCATCTTCTGGGGTTTGGGATACTGGGATACTGGTGGGCTGAGGCAGTGATGGGGAATTAGAGGCAGGACCCCCCCCCCCCAAAGGCCCCCCCAAAGGCCACCGCCCCAGGGGGTGCCGGTGGCCATAGGCATTACAATGGCTCTGCCTGTCCCTGGGCCCCTGGCTGCCCTCACACTGTGGGACGCAGATAGCCAGGAGCTGTCTCTGACCTCATTGTGCCCTAGCCACTCTGGCCTTGCATGGCCCTCACCTACCCTCTCCTGCTGGGTCAGCATCCCACCCCCCCACCCCCCCTTGAAGCTGCCCTCAGGCAAAACTGGCTTTCCCAGGACAGAATGAGGTCAGTCCTGTAGGGTGATGGATGGATTTAATAACAGACCATTCCTACCGCCAGCCCATTTGACCTTCACAGTCCCGGACCCGTGTAACGGCCAGAGTCAGCCCCATCTGTCAGGGGACAGGAGTCAGAGGGGGTAGAGACCATCCTCCCAGCCAGCTCAGGGCCCTCCAGGAGCCCAGAGCAGGTCAAAGCCAAAACCCTGGGATATGGGCACCCTCGTTCTAACCCTTCTCCTTGACAGTGGTACGCCCTTGAGCAAATCACTGCTCTTCTCTGAGCCTCAGTGTCTCCATGTGCAAAATGGAATGGATAATGCCCCGCTGCTTGCCTCCTGGGGTTTCCATAGGGACGGAGCCAGCGGCAGATGTGATCTCCATGCCCTTACAGAGGTGATCCTGGTCACTGCTCATCTTGGTTGGGTTCCCCCAGAAGCCGACCCTGAGATAAGGATGAGAGAAGTTCCTTTGGGCAGTGATCCTATGATAGGGAAAGAGAGGGTAAAACAGGCAGAGAGGGAAAGGTTAGGACGTGAGATCCCTGGGTGGGGAAAAACACATATTTTGAAACAAGGCTGGGAGCGTCTGACCACAGCAGTCTCCCGGGGGCATAAGGTTCCTCTTAAGAATGTTACAGACACCGCCTGCTCCCCCTCAGGTTCCCCTCAGGAATTTGACCAAAGACCTGACTAAAAATAAGCAGTCGACCATAAAATGTATGACCCACAAGGAACGGTGTGGCCGTAGACCACCCCTCATACGATGGAAACCAGCCAATCAAAAAGGAATGACTAGGCATTTAGAGTTATCACGCCGATAAGGGTAAAACCAGAGGAGAAATGAGTGGAGGCGGAAGGGGGGGCGACCAAAACCTTATAAAACAAGGACCCTTGCCTGTAGTCGCGGGCATTCACTCCCTTCTCTGGAAAGAGAGCTTTCCTACTATTCTTGCTTTCTGATCTTATACTCTAATAAACTTTTGCCGGCTGCTCGTTTTATTCGGTGCCCCCCCACCCCCTTCATTCTTTGCGGCGAGACAACGAATCCTGGGCATTGAGGTTAAAAAAGCATCCTGCAACAATCCCAGGACGCGCCGGTAGGGAAAGGGGGAAACTGAGGCAGGGAAGGAAGAATCCCAGAGTCAGGACGCGCTGGTGAACGAGCCGCAGCGGGGACAGCCGAGGCTCCGCCCCTCTGGAGACTTCCAGGAGATGGGGTGGAATGGGCCTCACGTCTGTCCCAAGAAAGAGGGGAGAAGGCTGGGCTATTTCCCCACCCACCCCCCCAGCTCCCACCCGCCCTTGGCCGAGGTCTGCTCCCACAGACATCAAGGTCCCAGCACTCCCCCAGCCTGCCCGTGTGGGTGAGCAGCCCCTCCGGCCAGCGAAAGCCCTCAGAGGCTGTCCTGTGCACGGGAACGACGATCCTGAGGGGACGCAGGCAGGGCTCCACGTGCACGATCTCATTTCCTGTTGCCCGCGGTCAGCCTGGCAGAGGAGGCAGGGTGATGCGCCCCATTCTGCGGATGAGGAACGTGAGGCTTAAAGGGCTCAGAGGGGGCAGGGTCTTTGGTCCTTGCACGGCCTCTCAGATGGGCAGGGTCCACTTGCTTGTGAGCTGTAAGCAGATAACTGGATAACAATAGGAGGAAAGAGCCCTGGCTTAGAGTGTTTGCCGGTTGCCATGGCGTAAATACTCCCACCATGGCCGATTTCATGCCACCGCAGGATGGCTGTCACTGAGCACCGAGTTGGGAAACGATGCTAACCATCGGCTGCCCGGAGCCGGGACGGGCTGGATTCAGCACACCCCTGGTTGGAGCCCAGGGCAGCCCTCAGTACCGATCACGCTGACTTTCTCTCCAGGGTGCAAACACATCGTCCTGTTCCGGCTCCCACCCCTTTGCTGCCCCTGTCCCTTCCCTCTGGAACGTCCCTTCCCGCCTGTCCACGTCGCCAAACCTTACTCGCCTTTTCAGAGGCTGCTCCGGTGCCGCTTCCTCCAGGCTGTATTAGGGGAAGCACCGCCAGCTGCTACGACGAACGTGACCCCGTAGCCGCAGTCATTCAACAAACACAATCTAAGTTTACCGCTGCCTGTGGTGGTGGAGTGGGGGCGGTTCTGCTCCCCCTGGAACGCACCTTCCTTCCATCGCAGACGCCTCATGTCCAAGTTCACCCCAGGACGGGGAGAGAGAGAGAGAGAGAGCGAGCACAGGTTCCCCCGAGTTTTACGCATATCACTTCTACCCACTTCGATGGCCAGGTCTGCCTCTCCTGACTGCAAGGGGGCCAGGAAGGGTAGTTTCACTGAAAACCGAGGAGAAAATGAAACCGTGAAAACCAACCAAAGCCAGCTTCTGCTTCTGTTTCCCCCACACCACAACTTCCACAGTCCAACCAATTTCCTTCTCTTCTAGATTCTTCCACGACATACCATCCAGAAACTGTTCTTCTTTGGTCTTTGGCTCAGACTGCCCAGCATGGTTACTGGGGTGGTCTTTTTTGCCTCCATAAACTCACAGAGGCTGAGCTATGGAAGGTTCCTAGAGGCTGGGTTCCCAGTGCTTTCTTTGGGTACGAATCATCTGTGAACTCAGGGTTCCCAGACCCGATAATGCATATCTTGGGAAGGGCCCATCATTCAGTATCTTTAACGAGCTTAGGTAGTTCAGATGTCCAGCTAACACTGGAACTGCTGATTTAGTTAAAATGTCCCACTTAACGGATGTGAACACTGAGGCCCAGGGGTGGGGGGAGGAATTTGTCCTAAGCCATGGAGTAAGCTAAAACTGGATCTGAAAGTTGAACCCAGGGCTCCTGACTTTTAACTCTGGGCTCTGTCTATATACTATGGTGTTATCTCCCGTAGAAGATCTGATGGTAAATTCCAGCACGAGACCCTGGTAGAAGCTGAGTTGGTCATGGGTCATCAAGATGACCTTCGCGGTCAAAAGATAGTGACTTGAATGTGAGCTCTAGAAGAAGGCCGACCTAGGTTCAAACTCTGCTTTTTGCACCTACTTGTTTTGAGATCTTGGGCAAGACTTCTTACCTCTCTGAGCCTCAGTTTCCTCATCTGGAAAATGGGGGTGATAATAGTACCTATCCCGTAGGGTGGTTAGGAGGTTAAACTATAGGAAAAGTGCTCAGTGCTGTATCTGGTAAATTCTCAGTGTGTACTTATTGTTAACTCTGATTATCCGCCAAGGTGAGTGGTTGTTCTCAAGGAGCCTGAGAGGCATCTGGAAACAATCTCAAGGGTGAGCCTTATCCAGGATTGAGAGCCTCATCCGAGTAAAGCTTCATCCACTGTGCAGACAGAATTTTCATGAAAATCAGCTCCCCAAACGCACAGGCCAAGCCTCTGGAAATTCAAGCCGCACTGCTTGACCTCAATTTTTATCCAATTTGGTGTATAACTCATTGTTTCGAAAATATACCCAAGCTATATGTGTGTGTGTAAGCAAGTCTGAGCGAGCATTGCTTCTGTGCACAGAGGCTGCTCGGGTCCCAGCCCATGGAAACGCCAGGTCAGTCGGGGAGGGCTGGGCTCTGCTGCAGAAACAGATCACCCCACATCTCAGTGGCTATGGACAACAAAGGTTGCTCTCTCGGTCACTGTCCCTGCCCTTCGTGGCTTGGTCGGAGCTCTGCCCGTGGTAGGCACTCTGACACATAGGCTGAAGGAGAAACTACCAACTCAATTGTTGCTGTTCCTGTAGCCAAGGAAAAGAAGGCTCTGGAGGAGAGCTCAGGCAATAAAGTGCTGTGGCCTGGAAGGGATTCACATCCTCACCAAGTCTCTCTCTTATCTTAATGTTTATTTATTTTTGAGAGAGACAGAAACAGAGCACGAGCAGGGGAGAGGCAGCGAGAGAGGGAGACACAGAATCGGAAGAAGGCTCCAGGCTCCGAGCCGTCAGCCCAGAGCCCGACGCGGGGCTCGAACTCACGGACCGCGAGAGCATGACCTGAGCCGAAGTCGGAAGCTTAACCGACTGAGCCAACCAGGTGCCATCGTCACCAAGTCTGAATGCAGATACCACTGCACGGAGGCACATCCTGGAGCCCATCTCCTTCCTTGTCTGCATAAAGTGGCGTAGAATTGTACCTACTTCAAAGGATCGGTGCGAGGGGCTACCTGGTATAATGCTGAATAACTCTTGAAATAGCACCTGAGAGGGGCACCTGGGTGGCTCAGTCAGTTAAGCGTCCGACTTCGGCTCAGGTCATGGTCTCATGGTTCATGAGTTCAAGCCCCGCGTCCGGCTCTGTGCTGACAGCTCAGAGCCTGGAGCCTGCTTCGGATTCTGTGTCTCCCTCTCTCTGCCCCTCCCCTGTGCTCTCTCTCTCTCTCTCAAAAATAAATAAACATTAAACACATTTTTTTTTAAAAAGGTGAAATTTGTTATATGAATTATATCTCAATATTACAAAAAAATTAGGATCTCAGTATTATTAAAAAGATAATGCTGATAAATAAAACAATGGGGAAATCCCCCTCCCCCTGCAGGGTTGTTCACCTTCACCCCAAAACTGCCAGCTCCCATTATAATCCTCATCTCTGGGCTGTCATTTCTGTGGGCTGATGTGTCGCCCTGGCCGGGGCGCCCTTCAGCGTGTGACCTGTGGTCTCTTTCACTGTCAGCGACAGAACTATGCCCACACCTTGTGCGTGTAGGGGTCACATCCTGCCACAGGACGACCTCCCTTCTCCAGTCTCCCCAGGCCCTCCTGCTGCCTGGGATCCTATGGGATGCCTGGGATAGAAAAGCCCTTGGCCATCAGCCATCCAGCCCCTTCCATTCAGTAATGAGGAAATCCAGGTCCGGGGCGGGGCGGGGGTGGGGGGGGAGGGATTTGCCTGATGTCACACAGTGAGATGGTGGCGCAGCTGAACCCAAAACCCGGGTGCCCCACGGTACACCCGGCGTCCCTCCTGTGGTGGTGGCGCGTCCGCGGGCAGGAGGCGGGGCTGGGCAACGGCTGGGAGACTCTCGGGGCCTCTCTGAGGTCCTCACACCCGACAGGTGCATGAGGACAAGGAGGAGACAGCGGACTGGCGGGATAGAGGAAAGCTGAAGTCAGACGAGGAAGGTCCCTGCCGCTTGCTACTTCCTGTTTTGCTCACGGCTTTAGTCGTGGGAAACAGTTGTCACCGCAAAACTGCAACGCCAAACCCACTAGCTTCCCTTCGTGCATACCCATTCCTCCCACTGGTCTCTGTCTGGGAGCACGTCCCCCACTCTCTCTCGCTCCAGGCCCACAGAACTGGGGGGCCCCCGCCACTCCCACCCCGACTGCGAGAGGTAGCTCTGGCTGTCATATGTTCAGGACTCCCTGGGAGCGGAGTTTGAGGACAAGGGGACACATTCATGAAATGGGGCCGGCGGGCACAGATGCCACATTAAAGGACACAGACTCACAGAGGGTGAAAAGGGTTCCGTTTCTGACAGTCTCAGTGGATGCTGTCTGTCTTTCCGACCTTTCTGACCTTTGCTAACCTCCCTTCGAACGCAAAGACCGGCCCTCAGATTGAGAACAGCCAGGGCGCTGGGATCCAGCTGGAATTTAAGGACACTACTCGATTACCATTGTACTCACACGATTGCTTCGCTTCTACTTGTGACAATCACGCAAGTCCTCCGTTTACATAGTTTCCTTTGCAAATAAATTATTTAAGTAGAGACGAGGTGATTTTTCTAGAAACGCTGAGTGGCCATCGGCACAGGCAGAAGGGAAAGTGGTTTGGAATGTCTAGGAGTCTGGGAAGCAGTCGGTGGAGGTTTTCCGCGTCTGGGAGGCCGGGCTGACTTAGTCCTGGCTTTCCCCTGCTGGAAGGACCCCGGCCCGAACCTGTCGGATCCTCGGTGGCCTGAGCCACCCAAAACTGACTCTCGGTGGCCTGAGCCCTTGACTTGCAAAGCATCCAGATTCAGGCTCCCTGCCTGCAGAGCAACACCGGGGTGGGCACTGGAGGCCCTGAAGGCGGGCTCCTGGGTGGAGGCCACCCTCCCTCGGAGGCTGCCTCCTCCTGGGTGTGTGAGCTGCCTTGTCACCTGCGGCCCAGGACCCAGAACCGTCATCCTCCTCTCTTCCCTACCCCCCCTTCCCCACAGCTTTTCCTACAAACCCCTCAAATCACCAATTACTTGGGCCTCCCTCTCACTCCCTACCGTTGTAGGTAAAGTTGAGGTTCCCTGGCACCCTACTTCCTGGACCGTGGTTCACCTTCCCTGTGCTTCTTCTCCCAGGTGCAGTCCCCTCCCTGTCTCCCCACTGCCCAGGGAAGCTGCCCTCGAGTCTGATGTGGTTTTCTGGCACCTTCCTTTGAAACCCTACCACCACCACCGCCACCACCCAGATCTGTGGGACCCCTGTAGAGCCGGGCCAGGACTAGGGTGAGGATAGTGAGGTGCCCAGGGTGCAAAATTTATGCAGACGTCCATTCTCAGTGGCCACCCCGACGGGGAGTGTCTCCTTAACTATGTGTCCAAGGTACCTCACTTGCCTCACACTAGTCCCACACCTGTTGCAGAACACAGGAGAAAGAAAACCTGCTTGTGAAAGGATGTTCCGGGGATTACTGGGGTTCTGAGTAATGTTCATAGCAGTTACCCCCTTGGGATCCTACAACATCTCCCAGGAGCAAGGCTGTTGCCTAAACACAGCTGCGTGGGGTGTGCACTGAACAAGGGTGGGACGCCAAGGGGTAAGTGTGGCTGAAATCCACCTGTCTCCACTCTGTGTGTCTGAGCGTGGGGCCTGCGTCACCCTGGAAAAGGGGGTACCTGGTTGTGTTTTATCCGCTGGTGACGGAGGCTTTCAGTACCTCCCACCAGAGTATGGAATGTGCTAGCGATGGCCCTGCAGACAGCAGGAAGCAAAGGTGACGTGAGAGGGAAGGCACTTGCCCTGGGACACAACAGCAGGGCACCAGGACCCGAGTTTCTTGAGTCTTCACTTCATCTGCCCTTTACTTTTTACCGCTCAAGGACAGTATGTTAGACGACTGAGCGCTCTGCACAGGCAGAGCTGAGTCTAAAGCAGATGTCCCTTTTATGCCCTTTCTTGCCTGCCCCTCCCCCGCCTTGCCAAGGCCGAGTTAATTCCCTCCACGTCTTTTCAAGCAGCTTGGGCTCGCCTCTAATCCCATGTCTGTCCTCCCCACTGGACTGCGGATTCCTAGAGGGCAGAGACTGTGTCCCGCGGCCTCAGTCTCAGCACACGGCCTGGTAAATTCTAAGTGCGCTGGGCGTGCATCACCCACATATCCTGGGACCCCTGGGGACCCAGGCTCGGTGCCACGAGGCCAGAGCACTTCATAAGACACAGACCATTAAGCAAAAGTAATTTAAAAATAATGCCAACTGTGACTCGTGTCCCTCTAATACCCTTACAATCCTTTTCCCTCCGTGTCCCCGTCCCTTTCTCTCTCTCTTTTCCATTTCAGGCCCTCTCCACCTATTTTCTTGCTTCTGTGATACAAAACCTGGAAGCTAGGTTGTCCAAGAGCCGGAGTCACATTCCAGAGGGAGGGCAGGTGCAGCGGATCAGCCGGTTGTCCTCCAACCCTGTCCCCCTCTTCCTCACTGGCACGTGGCTGCTCTGCTAGACGTGATGTTTCCCGGCCTCCCTGGCAGGAGTGGCCACGGGACTAAGTCCCGGCCGTCGGAACGTGAATGCAAGCGAGGGAGGCCACTTTGAGGCCGAGGCCTTAAGTCACCCGGTGCCTTCTTTTTCCTCTCTGCTTGGCTGCAGCCAGCCGTGGCGACAACCCCCAAAGGGGGCGATGAAGCTTATGGGATGGAAGAGTCCCACCGCGGAAGGGTCTCTGAATGGCCAGGGCCTCCTGTATGAGAGACGGTGTCCTCGCACGGGGCCCGCTGTGCGAGAGGCCAGGACACTTCTGTATTCCTTACGCTGTTCTGTGTTGGGGTGTCTTTGCCCCAGCGGAGAGCAGTGTAGGCTTACCCGTAAGTAAGAGAGCCAGGAAGGGGAGAGGCTGGCTGAGCAGTTACAACCAGAATCTTCTCCAGGAGAAAGGGCGAGCGGAGTCCGGGCCTCCCACACGACAGGCTCTGTGCCATCACACGCTTGGTGGAATGACCGAACGGCCAGGGGTGCTCCCAGCAGAAACGAATGATGACGGTTTCTTGTGTAACCAAAGGGGAAGGAGAAAGAATGGGGTCACCTGGCATCCGGGTTCAGCGCTTGTCAGACCCTCAAAGGCAACAGAAACAACCTCCGTTCTATCCGCCACTGTTCTACAGGACGCTTACTTACCCTGCCGGCCTTCCCTGGGGAGAGGGCAACAGCAGGCCCCCTGCTTCCACAAGGGCCTCCCCAGAGGAGAGTGGGAGGCTTGCCCAAGGTCACCCCGGCTGTTAGAGGCGGAAGGGCCATGGAAACCCCAAGAAGGGATTTGGAGCCAAAAAGGATTTGAACCTGGAAGCAGATGGGGAAACCAGCAAGGGAACCCTCCCCAGGTGGAAAGATTAACTCAAGAAGCTGTGGCCAAAGACAATGGATGGAAATGACCTAAGGGATTGCAGGAAGGAGAGAAGCCTGCGGTCCAGGCACCTGGCGGGGTTCCTCACAGCCTGCTGAGCGGCCACCATTCACACTGACGGTGGCGCTAGGGCTGGAGGAAGACGCCAAGGCTGAAACACTGAGGTCTGAAAAGGAAATGCAGGAACCACAAAGTTCTGTGAATTGTCTGAGCCAAAAGAGACAAAATGGCCTTGGGGAGGGCCTGGAGCCCAGACGGCCAGGGGGAAGGAAAACCTGATGGGCCTCCAATCTTCCCAGGTAACGTCCTTTCTTTTCAACATTCCCTGAACATTTATGGAGCACCTATAGTATACCGTGCACCTCTGTACCCTAGGGATACAGCCATGAACCAAACAGGAAAAACAAAACAAAACAAAACATCTTCCAGGGGCCCCACCTGCTAGTGGGGGAAGCAGACAGTAAAACACAACCACAAGAAATAAGTCAATTCTGTAGTGTCAAGATGCAGTAAGAACAAAAAAGAAAAATAAAAACGAAAAACGATGGGACCAGGAGTGACGGAGATGAGACAGATTGCGTAATTTGCAGAGCCCAGCGCAGAACGAAAACGTGGGGCCCTTGTTCCAAAGGCAGAGAAAAGAGCTGTTAAAGGTACACAGGAAATTTCCCCTTCTTTCTGCAGTCTCCTCTCTCCCTCTCTCTTTCTCTGTCTCTCAACTTGTCACTGTGTTTTTATTTGCTGTTTAATGTCATTCTAGGTAAAGACAAATCTTAAATTATCAGCATGGGTTTTACCACTCATCTTTATATTGTACAATGCCAGCTTTGAAATGAAAATATCAGAGCATTTAACTCGTACGTGGAGTCACAGAAATTACACAATTTGTATTTCATGGCTTGTCCCCAAGGGTGCCCCAAGCCCACCAGAAGAGGCCAAACAGAAAGAACTGGAGAGAGGAAGAGCTGATCCGCCCAGCTAGAGATTAAGTGAGCTCTTCTGGGAACAGAGATACCCTTGGGGTAAAAAGTCTCCTGGGTACCTGCGGGCCCTGCCACACTATGGTGGAGGCACCCACTCCCCAGAGCCTGACCGTTGCCAAGTTCCCCTCACCAAATTGTCCCTCCCCCCAGATGCAGGGCTGATGGGTAGCACCCAGGTGAGGGTGGGGCCTACGGAACTCAAGCCTGGCCTCTCCTTCCCACGGGGCCACTCTTCCAACCCTTGGCAAATGGGTAACCCCCAAAGGTCTTTAAGCTTCCATTCCGGGCTGTGCTCAGGACCTGCATCAGGGTCTTGCCCCCACTGAGATGTGGCCTCTCTGGCCAGTCACCTACTGGACGCGCCATGATGCTGCCAGTGCAGGGTGGGGATAGCCATGCCCTGTCCCAAGATGCTGTGCGGTGTGTGCACCTGACCTCCCCTCCCCTGTCCCGGGTCCGTGATCGGGGTCCTGCCAGCCACCAAAGACAGCCACAGTCTTCGAGCAGGGCCAGAGAGGGGAGGCGGAACGGGGCCGGAGGTGCTAATGGGCAGGGGGCCAGGTGGCACATGTGAGCTGAGGCCAAGTTCCTGGCGCATATCCCCTTGTCCCATCAGACTTCACTTACAAAACACAAATTCAAAGATAAAATTATTAAGAATTTCGAGACAGTGATAGTGGAGCATAAAATGCAAAGTGTGGGACCCATCTGAGCATAGGGTCCTGAGTCGGGGTGCTGGCTGTGCTCCCAGAAGCCAGCCCTGGAGGGAGGAGAGGTTGTCACTCTGAACAAATGTTCCCGGAAGGCTTTGTTAAAAAGATGATGTCTGAGCAAAGACTTGAAGAATGAAAAGGAATGAACCACTCAGATTTCAGAGGGAAGGGTGTTACAGGCAGAGGGAACAGTACGTATGAAGGCCCTGGTTTGGGCACGTGCCTAATGTATCCAGGGGGCAGCCAAGAGGCCCATGCGGCTGGAGTGGAGGGGTTAGGGGCCAGTTGTGCAAGGCCCTGGGGGACAGTTAAGGGATTGGGGCTTTTGGTCTGAGAGAAAGGGGGAGCCAAGGAAGGGTTTTCTATAGAGGAGTGACATGATCAGATTTAGGTTTCCAAGGGGCTCCTGCTGGGTTAAGCCTAGACTGAAGGAAGCAGGGAAATAAGCCAAGGGCTACGGCAATAACCCGGGAGAGGGATGACGGTGGCTTGGACCACCAGCCTTTAAGGATGGGTGGTCAGAACCTGGGTATTCAGTAACATTCTAACATATTTATTCAGCCCCCGGTACACCACCTACGGCCAAGGCTCAGGGGGTTAATGAAGCAGGAGACACCAGGTTCCAGCTGTTGTGGAGCTTTCCAGTGAGGTAGAAACAAATGATAAACCAAAACAGAAGGGCCTCTCTGACATGTCATTTCAGCTGAAATCTGAGCGACATAAGGAGCCACCGTGAGATCGGGGAAAATCATTCCAAGTAGAGGACACAGCATGTGCTTTAGTCAGCTCAGGCTGCCATAACAGAATATTGCAGACTGGGTGGCTTAAACGGAAATTTATTATTATTTTTCCCCAGGTTTGAAGGCTGGGAAGTCCAAGATCAAGGTGCCCGCCAATTCAGTTCCTGGTGAGTGCTCTCTTCCTGACTTGCAGACGGCCAACCTTTTTTGCTATGTCTTTGCATAGCCTTTCCACAGCACCTACAAGTGATCTCTTTCTTTCCTATTTTTAAAAAACGTTTAATTTTTTGAGAGAGAGAGCTAGAGCAGGGGATAGGCAGAGATGGAGGGGACAGAGAATCCAAAGTGGATTCCACACTGGCAGCAGAGAGCCCGACGTGGGGCTTGAACCCACGAACCTGTGAGATCACGACCTGAGCCGAAATCAAGAGTCAGACACTCAACTGACTGAGCCACCCAGATGCCCCTCTTTCCTCTTCTTATAAGGCCATCAATCCCATCAGATTAGTTCACCACACTGACTTCACTTAACCATCCTTGCCCCCTAAAAGCCCTAGGTCCACATACAACCACATTGGGGGGCTTCAACAGGCTCAACTTATGAGTTGAGGTTGGGGAGAGACAGTTCAGTCCAAAGAACCCTGAGTTGGCAAATGAGCTGGGCCAATCCGAGGCAAGGCAAAGAGAAGGCCAGTGGGCACGGAGGGAGAATGTTTCAGACACAGGTGGGCAAGGCGGGCAGCAGGCAGCTCACACAGCCTTACAAAGTAGGCCAGGAAATCTGGATTCTACTCTAAGGGCTGACCATTTCTGAGCACTCCCTATGTGCCAGGCACATGCTAACGACCCTACGGGCATCATCTCATTTGACTGTCACAGTCATCCTAAGAGGTAGATGTTCTCTCTGCCGATTTCACAGTAAGGAGACCGAAGCCCCGAGCAGCAGTGTTCGCAGAAAGGAGGCGCCCTGTGCTTGCCTGTCGTGGTGCTCAGCCCCGCCAGGGGAGGAGTACAGAGCAGCCCTTAGCTGAGCCCCTGGAATGGGCCCTCCAGACTGGGTGGCCTCAGAAGCAGACGTTGGATTCCATCCAACGGAGGCATATTGAGCATCTGATCCTGGTGAGGGGTTCCTCAGGGTGAATCAGCCACAGTCCGGGCGAGTTAGGACAGGGCTTCTCAAAGTGAGGTTCTCAGTCTTCTATATCCAAATGTCCTGGGGCACAGATTCCTGCCCCACCAGCAGCTAGTAGCTAGGAAAGCTCAGAGGGTGTTGCCAGGAGTTTGCATCTTAAACAGGTGTCCCCACGGGAACCTCTGCTGCAGGGGGAGGGGCAGGCAGCTGGGCAAGCAGCTGGCGAAGGGGGCACAGGAGACAGGCATCAGCTGCACCTGCAGAGGGGCCTGAAGCCTTCTGCTGGTGAATGACTTCTTGAAGTAATGTTGCAGCCGGGCGTTGAAGGAGGTGGAAAGTGGGGAGGGAGGGAGAGGGCATTCCAAATGGAGGCACCTGCACAGGCAAAGACTTGGGGGCTGGGCACAACCAGAGGAAAAGGGGAGAGGGGGAGGGTGAGAGGAGGTTGTGCACCAGCTTTCTTCGCTCCCCACTGGGACCAAAGGACAAAGTGACCAAGGTTAGCTTCGTCAGCCTGCAACAGCTGTGGGGACAGCTTTATTGCAGAGGCCCCTGCTGGCTGCACAGGCAGAGCCCCCTTTGCCCAGGCCCCCAGAGAGTTCTTCCTGCTGAGGGAGGAGGTGGATGGGCGGATTTCACAGAGAACAAAGGGGCTGGAGGCTTGGGGGAGGGGATGAGCGAGGACCTCCGTGTGGAGCATGGTGACCCATGGCCCTTCCCTGGGTGGCCCTCAATGGGTTGGCTGGGCAGAGGGGACAGGAGGCGGCCTGCTACGGGCCCCAGAGCAGTCACACCCAGAGGGGTGCTGGAGCTAGGTGCTGGAGCTGGCGGGCTCACAAGAGCAGACTGTAAAAATATTCAGGAACTTTGTAAGCCGGTTGTTAAATTTTGGTAACTTGAAATTGGCCTTGATGGGTGTTTACACAGCATGGAAATTGGCAAAAAATCAAGGATTTTTTTTTTTTTTAAATTCTTCCACGGAGCTGGTTAATCAGCACTTCACTGACAAGGGAGCCACAGCCACTAGCATTATGGGGCGGGCGGCAGCCGGAGACCCTTATCCAAAACACACCCTCCTGTGCAGGGCACAAGAAACAGCCAGGTACATCAGACACACTCAAGTGTCCCTGCTCTCAAGGAGCAACCGGTCTGTAGGGAGGCAGCAACAACAACAAAAAAACCACAACCTAGGATGTTCTCAACCAGGGAAATAATGCTAACAACAGCTGCTATACCTTGAGTCCCTCCTACGGGTCATGGTGCTGGGAACTTCTCCATCATCTCCGCTCCTCACGGCCGATCCCACTACACAGATGGGAAAAACGAAGCTCGACAAAGTCACCTGCCCGGGATCACACGGCTGGCAAAGTCACGTCCAAAAGCCACACCGTTCTCCCTCGAGCTTGTGTGAAGTTCCTTAACCGCTGCAGCGCCCTGCCTCCACACACCATGCTGCATGCCTGGGGCAGGTGCAGGGCTGGCAGTGGGAAAGGCTTCCCAAGAGTGGTGACATTCAGTCTGGGCTTTAAAGGATGAATAAGAATTTGCCGGTTTTAGGGCGCCAAGAAAGGCATTCCAGATGGGAGGAGAAGCCCAGGAGAAGGCATGGAGGAGTAAGAGGGCATGGGAAGTTTGGGGGAAGAGAGAACACGGTTGGATTACAAGGTTACATCATGGGGAAGCAGGCAAGATGGGAAGGTAGGTGGGACTTTAGTGAGAGGGGCCTTGAATGCCAGGCTAAGAGATGTGGTCTTTTATCCTAAAGGCTTGGGGGTCACGGAAGTGGAAGGTCCTGGGACCCATATCCGAGAACTATGTAAGTATTTCGGCGAGATTGCTACTCTATCCATTTTTACAAATTGCCCTGGAGCAAATGCTTCTCAAACCATCTGTGGAGAAGGGCCATTTTTAAAAAATTTCTAATCTGTCCCAGACCAATACTTTTGTAAAATACAAGGAAAAAATGAATTGCTAGAAAAATAAAATGAAAAAAAAATACCAGCCATTTGTTTTTATTATGAGATTCAAGACCTACAATTACTCTATCGGATTGTGCTACAAGTTTTCAACCCTTAGTTTCTGCGTTCACTTTGATAGAAAAGAGCTGGTCCAGGCAGTCTCTGTTATAGGCACACATCTAGGACAAATAAGGGTTCTCCTCGTGAGAGTGAAGCACTGCCAAACAAATGCTATTTTGGAGATGAGGAATCTGTCGTCCAGAGAAGGTAAAGTGGCCTGCCCAAGATCACATAGCTGGTGAGAGGCAGGGCTAGGATTTAAACCCAGGGCTGTCTGCCTTATTGAGGCTGTCTGCCTCAATCCACCTGCCAGGTGCAGCCCAGACCCTCTCAGCAGAGCCCTCCGGCCTGGCCCTGTAGCCTTGTCCCTGCTCTTAACACAAGGTCAAGAGCCCTGCAGTGGGGGGAAATGGCACCATTGTAAGAAGGGAACTTCCTTGCCCAGGGTCCCACGCCCGAGGTTGGCGGAAGCAGCCAGCCTCCGGGTCTCCTGATACAAGTAGGTCCTCAGTGTCGCCACTCCGCCTGCTTCTGTGCCTGTGCACTGACCTCTAGGCCAGACAGTGCCAAGGAGGGCAAGGGAGGGAGGGGCACGAGGAGGCAGGGGACTCACCAATTGCTGGCAATTACACAGTGCTTTGTCATTCTTAATTAGCTCAGCGGATCCATAGGCAAAGACCTCCCCGTGGAAGCAGAAGACAGCCGCTGGTGCTACCCAGGGGGGGCAGACTGGGGGGGTAGGGGTCCCCCAGGAGCACTTTCCCCAACGCGTTTAGGTGCTGCTGCTTCTCCAACTGCAGAGGGCCACCCACTTGCTGGGCACATGCTGAGCACCAGAAGAGAGAACTTAAGTCGAGTCCTTAGATGCGTACCGGCCACCGCCTCGGTGCCAGGCACTGGTCAGCTGCTCCAGGGAACCCTGGGGTGAATGATGATTTCCAGCCCCCAGGCTTGAGACATACCCCGCTGCTGGGGGAAGCAAACAGGTTCAGCCATAAAACATGAATGACAACCAGAGTTACCATTTACTAAGCACCTGCCACATGGCAGGCACTAGGCCAAGCGTTTCCCACATATTATCCAATAGAACCCTTACAAAGCCCTCTAAAGTGGGTATTATTCCTGCTGTACGGATGAGGAAACTGAAGCCCGTTAGCTAGGATTGCATATATATAGATATAGATATAGATGGAGAATTTGGTTTCAAAGTTTTTGTTTGTTTGATAGAGAGAGTGAGTGGGGGAGGGCCAGAGAGTAAGAGGGAGAGAATCTCCAAGCAAGCTTCTCAATCTTATCGTGGAGCCTGACGTGGGGCTCAAACTCACGAACCGTGAGATCATGACCTGAGCTGAAACCAAGAGTCGGATGCTCAACTGACTGAGCCACCCAGGCGCCCCTGGAGGATTTGGTTCAGAGCCCAAGTATGTAGAACTCCAAGGTCAAACAGTTGACTAGGGGAGAGAGAGAGAGTGAGAGCCTGGGCGTGCGAGAAGAAGAAGCTTGTGAGGGAAGACAAGTGTGTGGGTAGCTACGACTGGGTATTGGGGAGGAGGCCAACTAGACTTTCAGGGCAAAGGTGGGTAGGCTGGGAGAGTTGAGGAGGCCATCTGGCTGGATGTTTCTGGAAGAGGAAGCATCATGAGAAGGGTCTGAGGAGGGAAGGGTTCAGAACAAATTGGTTAGTGTTGCTGGATCAGTGGGACACAGGAGGCAGGTCAGGTGAAAAGTCAGAACCAAGTCTCAGGAGGAATGTCTGGGCTCCTGACTCATCAGTAACCCAAGTTCCCTCCGATTCCCTGAGAGAGGGCTGTCTCAGACCTGGGCCTGAGGTGGAGGGGGATGTCCTACCTCTCCAGTCGGGAGAGGGGGTGGGGGCTCTGGGGTGAGGCTGGACGACCCGCAGCTCGGACTGGGCCAGGTCCCAAACCCAAGAGGGCTCCCTTCCCTGGGGGCCAGTCAAGAACCATGATGAGAACAGTCATTCCACCTTTACTATTCAGCCAGTCAGGAGAGTGACTCCGATTTTATTAAAATACACAATATATATAGCACTCATTATAGGCCAGGCATAATTCTAAATACGTTCCAAACTTTAACTCTTTTAATCCCTACGCTAATCCATGAGGTATAATCCCCACTTTACAGATGAGGAAACTGAAGTCCGTGGAATTTAAGTGACTTACTTAAGGTCACGAAGTAAAGAAGCGGGGGAGACAGGATCCCGGGCGCCAGTATCCATGTGTTTAACTACCGTGCTCTGCTGGTGGGGGAAAAGAAAATACACTCTGCTGTAAAGACTCCCATTTTACAGATGGAAAAACTAAGGCCAAGCCAGGCAAAGGGACTGGCTCAGGCAAGGAGGGAGGACAGATCACTGGAGGAAATCGGGGCTCCTGATCGTAGGCTAGGCTTCTGTCTTGGTCCCAGTGCAAGTCCGAGTGATAGCTGGAGAGAAGCTGAGAGCCCTCCCAACCCCTGGCACCCACTATCTCATCTGGGGTCCCCAAAGGGCCCAGGGCAGAGAAAACAGTAAGATTACAATCCTGGCACCCTTTTCCTAAAGACAAGAGCCAGTTATAACCACAGGTAGCTTCTCCCTCCTTTTTATTTATTTTCTTTCTCTCTTTTTTTTAAAGTTTATTTATTTATTTTGAGAGACAGAGAGTGACCAGGGAGGGGCAGAGGGAGACGGAGAGAAAATCCCAAGTAGGCGCTACAACTGTCAGTGTGGAGACCTACTCAGGGCTTGAACCCAGGAATCGGGAGATTGTGACCTGAGCTGAAATCAAGAGTCAGATGCTTAACCGACTGAGCCACCCAGGAGCTTCTATTTTTCTTTCTGATTGCTAAAGGCTATAAGACCACTGCAAAAATTTTTACAAAGTTAGATCAGAGGAGCAAAAAGAAAAGAATAAAAAACATCACCTTAAAACCCCTCCTTGAATACCGGTATATTTTCAAGACTTCTCTGCTCCCTCTCGGTTTTTATAAGCATCCAAGCTGTGAAGCAAGAGACTTGGCTTCCGATGCTGGCTTGCTGTGTGTCCTTGGGCAAGTCCCTGCCCTTCCCTAGGCCTCAGGCTCCTTACCTGCGAAATGAGGGTTTGGACACGGTGACCTCAGAGGAGGCCCCTTGCCGCTCTGACCTTCTGTTTCTGCTTCTGTTCCTGGATTGGCAGAAGGGGCACGAGCCGGCTGCCCCTCTGCAGGGGATTCATGGCTGACAGCTCCCAGCAAGCCACCTCCGGGACGATGCGATGGCCCTGGAAACAGCCTTCCCTGCAGTCTCCGCGTTCCCAGGCCCGCCTGCTCGCTAGGCCCATATGGTGCCCCCTGCCAGCTGGACACCACCAGCTGCCCTTCACCTGCCAGCCCTGGGTGACTGCTTTTCCTTCAGGCTCCAGAATGCTCTCTCTGCTGCCCCGGAACCTAGCTGGCTCAGGGTAAGAGAGCTGGGGGGGCTCTGCCCTAAGGACCTATCTACCCATCGCCACAGCCCTTTGGGGAGAAGACAGCCTCATACGGTAAAAAAGATAGAGGGAGGGAGGGAAGAAGACAGGAAGGAACACTGACTGTAATCCAACTCCATTTGGACCCCTTGCTAGGCATTCAGGAATGAATCCGAAAAACGCACTGCCCCTGAAGGATCCAGAGTCTAGTGGAGGCAACAAGAGTAGAAACAGGCAGCAGAAACACTTGCAATGCTGAGAGCTCAGGCCTGTGAGATCCCAAAGGGAGAAGCCTACTAGATAGCAGTCAGGGAAGGCTTTCTGGAGGAGGCAACTTCATAGGTCAGTTCTCAAGAACAGGTGTCTGCCTTTCCAACTCAAGTTTTTAATTCTTACCGGCAGCCCTGTGGAATAGGTGTTGTTGCCCCTTTTACAGATGATGCTCGGAAAGGTGAGTTCACAACCACCAAATGAAGAAAAGCCAGGTTCAAATCCCCATGAGCCTGGGACAGAATGAGACAGAATGGCTGAAAAAGCACTTGGTTTATACTCTGAGAGAGGAATGTCAGTGGGGCCTCACTACCCAGCTGGGGATAGCACAGCCCCATTCCCCCCCCCCCCCAACACAGGAACAGGACTCCTGTCTTTTGTGCGAGGAGCAGTCCTAGAGGCTGAAGTTCACCTTGCTGAAGCATCCCCATCTAGAAGGAGCAAGGCTGTGGCATGAAGACAAGTGCTCTCTTTTGACTCCCTTCCGCAAAGCGTAACGGGAAGGCATAGGATCCTAGAGAGAATCCTAAATCCTGGCCTTAGAACATCTGTGCTTGAGGAATTCTAGAATCCACACTCCCCTCAAAATGCCTCCTAGTAACCATGGCAGGGTCTGGGTCAAGGTCATGCAGCACCTGGCCCTTCCAGGTCGGAAGGATGGCTAGAAATAGGATCCCATTTCCTTTGACAGATAAAGATGAAGACATAGTGGGGGGGGGGAAGAAATTGCCTAAGGTAACACAGCAAGTCAGTGTCAGAGCGTAACACCCAGGTCGTATCACTACCTGGGGGGTGGGGTGGGACAGCCCAGATGCCCAGGTGGTGCCAGAGAGCATCCTGGGTGCTGTTGGAGGAGTAAAATCCCCAACTGGTCTTACTAAGGCAAACTTTTATAGTCCTGCGCAGTACTCAGCAAAGTTCTAATACCCCAACTCTCCTAAGCCTCGGACAAGACTCTTCTTTCCCACCCTAAGTCTACCCATCTGTGAAATGGCCCCCAACTACCTTTCAGCTGGGCTGCTTAGAAATCCTAGGAATAAGGGGATTGGAAGAGGGAAGAAAAGAGGGGGCGTCTTGGGCTTTAGGCTCCCTACCTCAATGGCGCCCTTCACCGGGACAGCCTCGGGGAGGAGTGAGCAGGAGCTGGGCCAGGCGTGGCGAGGCAGGGCCGTCGGGGGCGGGCCCAGGGGCGGGGCCTAGCCGACCATCGCCCCGCCCCGTCGGACGCCTGCGCGGCCCTCGCGCCGCGGGGGGAGGAGCGCGAAGCCCGCGCGCTGCGCGGCCCCGGCGGAAAGTTTTCCCTGACGGAGTTTTGGCGGCGGCGGCCGGAGCGGCCATGGACGCGCTCAAGTCCGCGGGGCGGGCGCTGATCCGGAGCCCCAGCCTCGCCAAGCAGAGCTGGGGGGGGCGGCGGCCGGCATCGGAGTGAGTGTGTGCGCGTCCGCCGGGCCGGGCGGGGGCCTGGGTGGCGGGGGGGAGGGGGGCTCGGGCCGCGCGGACCGGCCTCCCGCGGGTGCCGGGGACAGAGGCGCTGCCTGCCCGGTGCCCTGCGGCCCTGCCGGGTCCTGCGGGGGGGGGGGGGGGGTCGCCCGGGGTCAAGTTGTGCTCCCACTCCTGTGCCCGCTCTGTGCGGCTGGGGAGGAGGGGCAGAAGCCGGGGGAGAGCGCGGAGCTCGGGATCCCCAGGTGCAAGCGGCAGTCGGAGGGGCCGCAGGTGAGACGAAGAGACCTGCGCGACCTCCGGCGCCTGACCCCCTCGCCGCCCGGGGCAGCTGAGGGGAGACCGGAGCTCAGCGTCGGTGCCTGGGGCAGGAGGAGTGGGCACCGGGGCTTAGGGGAGATGCCCGCACCCTGCGCCCCAGCCGCTCGGTGCGCGGCCGGCGGGCGGCCACGTGCCCCCTCTCCGCAGTCCAGCCCTTGAGGTTGTCTTTAGACGCCCAGAAACCGACTCAGGTGTGAGCGGGGGTTCGCAGGTACCTACTTGAGGTTGGGGGCGAGGCTCAGCCTGGGGTCTCAGGACGTAGCACACACCGAGCCGTCCAGACCCTTGCGTCCCCTCCTCTTCCCACGTTCTGGCTGATTTTGAAACCTGTTTTCTCTCACACTTTCCCTCTCGGGCCTCCGAAGTCCCGCGGCGCCCAGGCGAATGGCAGGCTCGCCGCCACCCTCTCTCGGGGGCGTCTGGGAGGCTGGGAGGCCGTCCCCCCTCCTCTCCTCGCCTCGAATTACTCTCAGGGAACCCGTCACCTGGCACCTTCCCTTGAGGCCTGAGAAACCCAGCCCGAGTCCTTCTTTTCTGTCCAGGAGAAAGAGCGTGGATTGCCTGGGGTCACACAGGCCTTCCTGGTAGATGTGGAGCCAAAGCAGGACTTCCGTACCCTCCCACCCTCCTGTCAAACACCTGGGCTTCTCCCTGCACCTAGAAACCACTGACAGTACAGTTGCACCCCACCCCGCTTCCTTTTCTTTCCAGGGCTCCGCCAGGGGAGCCCGAGTTCCCTCGAACCACGAGTGCCAGCGTGTCTGGGCCTAGAGAACCCGCCCTGCCCCTCCCTCTTGCCCCCACTCTGCTGTTCCAGTTGTGGCCACCCCCTAAACGGAGACTGGTGTTCAGAACTTGGGCTGGTGACTGCTGGTAGGGGTAGGGTCAGAGACCCATTAGGGTTGGTCCGGGCCAGGCCAGGGATGCACCCTCTCCCACCGTTATTGGCCTCCCAAACAGCCCCTTTAAATATTTATGGGATTTGACTAGGACTTCTGAGAATAATGGTTTGTTTCAGCGGGGGAACCCTACAGGTTTTTTTCCTGGGATGGGAGAGGGACGGGGTGCTGGGTAAGGGAAGAACACTTAGAGGCATCTTTGATTCTGGGGAAAGGGGAGAGGTAGCCACCTTGGATGGTGGAAGAGAGTTTTTCCCTGCTGCTCTGATCTTGGACAAGTCATTTTCCTTTCTGACTCTGTTTCCTCGCCTGCAAAATGGGGATGAAAATTCTAACCTGACAGGGGTGTTGAGAAAGTTATTGATAATGCTTCCTCCTGGCACCTAATTGGTGGTTTCCTTCTGTCCCACACTCGCCTTTCTTGTCATGTGGGCCCTCAACAGGACTGTTGCTCTGGTGGAATAAGTTTTGGGGGCTCAGAGCCCATCTACACCTGCAGAGGAAAGGAGAGGAGAACTCCTGTCCCCTGCAGACCCCCATAGTGCTGTTCTGAGCCTTCTGGACCCAGAATGATCTGGGTGGAATCTTCACCTGTCCCCCGTTATTAAGTGTCAGTTTCCTTATCTGTAAATTGTCCATAACAGTAGTACCCAGCTGGGGGGTGTGTGTGTGTGTGTGTGTGTGTGTGTGTGTGTGTGTGTGTGTGTG